TCCTTCTCCCCCTCCCCCCACCATCTCTCTAAAAAATCAGTGGAAGAATATCATCGGGTGAGGATTAACAACAACAAAAGATGTATATTGTGTAGAAGATTTCATTTTTGTGTCTCACACTCTGCTCTTAAACCACCAGGAAAACAACACGACATGGCCATTACCTGTGAAAATTTTTTGCAGAAATGAAAAAGGAGAGCGTGTTGATGTCTCTAAATATTTGATTAAAAAGGGTTTAGCTTTGAGAGAAAGGAGGTATGGACTTTCTTTTTTTTACATCAGTTTGTGATGGAGGCGTCTTATTTGCCTGTGTGCTTTCATATATGTGCGCTTTCATATATGTGTGCTTTCAAACCTGAATTGCATCTTGTTTGGTCTTTTAAAAATGATTTTTAAACTAACCTGGAGGAGCCAGCTCAGAAACAGATTCTTTCAGGATTGCCAATTCCTTTATTCAGTCCCATCAGTTCTTGCATATTTAAACACCTCTTTAAATTGACATATTTGCTTCTCTGCCTTTCTCTTTGCTTTGGCATTTACATGCCAAACCGAAGGAAAGGAGATGAGGGGATGGTATAATGGGTACCAGATCTGCACCCTTTGGCTTCATTTGCTTAGACAGAAATGTTTAAGATTTATGTTGACAATTCTGGTAGATATACACCAAAAAATGTGTTTCTGTGAAACAGAAATAGGTAATAAAAAATGTAATTGAACAATATTTACATTTAAAGATCCTTTCAGGTACTTCTTTCAGGGTTTAAGTACTTTTGGTACATGGAGAAAAGGATCAAGATACTGCAATAGCCCTAGCTTCCTCTTTCTCTCCATCTAGATACAGAGATCTATGGAAATTATTGACATACGTTCCAAGTAGCCACCTTGTACCATGCCTGGCCAGATCTTTTTTTATCTTACATTATTATATGTTCCCATATTTGGACCTGGACCCCAGTCCTGATGAAATGGAAGGAGAATGAGCAATCAGAAATGAAACGGGTCATGAGGTGGTTAGCCAGGCCTGGTGGGTGTTGACCTAATGCTGGGCAGTGGCCTGTGGCTGCCCCTGCATTTTTAGTCCCACATGTGTCTTTCTTCTGGTTCACTGGCTTTAGGCTAAAGTAATTCTTGATAAAAAAAATGTTAAAGTGAACAATGGTGGGCAAGTTAATACCACTGATAGATAGCGTCTGCTTTTATGGCACTGAAACTACCAGCTGTCTCAAGGCTGGGGACTGTGAGGAAGCTGTGGGAGATGCGAAATTATTATAACTATGTGTCAATGCTTATTTCCTTTTAAAAGAAAATACAGGAAAATAGAAGAAATAAAAATCTGCTGTAATTCTGCTAAAATAAACAGTGTTAATATTTCCTTCTAGGATTTTTTTGTAGGCATACTTTTTTATAATTGGATGGAAATAACAGGAAATTTAAAAAATTGAGTGAATATAGTGTATTACCACTAACATTTAATATCTGAATAGTACCATATTTTAAGGGACTCATATTATCTTTGTGTTATTTTATGAATGTTGATAACTTTGCCATGTATATATGTGGACTAAATTAGAATCAACATGAAGGTGCTATGTTTCCCAGTGACATCTAGTTGATTGTATAATACTTAAGACGTACTTAAGAGAGAATAGCATGTAAATACGAGATTATAAAGCATTTAAATGAAATCATATTCCTTTTTAATCATGCTCATTCATAATTTAAAATAATTTTCATGCCCTAGTAAGTTTGCTCAGTGGTTAGAGCATCAGCCCATGGACTGAAGGATCCCAAGTTCGATTTCAGCCAAGGGCACGTACCTCAGTTGCAGGCTCAATCCCAGGCCCCAGTTGGGGTGCATGCAGGAAGCAACCAGTCAATGTGTCTCTCTCACATCGATGTATCTGTCTGTCTGTCTCCTTCCCTCCTTTCCACTCTCTCTGAAAAGCAATGGAAAAAATACACTTGAGTGAGGATTAAAAAATAAAAATAAGAAATAAAATAAATTTTATTATAACAAATTATTTTCCTTTTCATGTAACAAATTAGACTAGACTACTACTAGACTATATTATATTAGAAGGATTCTGTTTATACTGTTTTCTCCAGAATTTTTTATTGCTCATGTTTAGATGTATTCTCTTTTGGATGTTACAGAATTAATAAATTAGATAACAACAGTCTTTCATTATCTGAGAAGTCTCTGGAAATCCCCCTGAAACAAGAAGATTCGGTGGTTACTAAGTGTATTAAAACTAACTTTGATCCTGACAAAAAAGCTGCTGATATTATCAGTGAACACAGGGTGTCTGTGTTTAAGGAGAACAATCTAGAACCAAGAACCCCTGGATGCTATAAACCACCAGTTATTCCTAACATGAAAGTATTTGAGGCAGTAGTCAGCTGCATTGGTGATGATGGAACTATATTTGTGGTGCCTAAGTTGTCAGGTAAGATCTTTTACATTATGTAGGATTAGTCAAGTATAAGTCCTAGCTAGTAAGATAGACATTGATTGAAATACTTCGGGCAATATTTAACCTCTTCTGACCTCATTTTCACTGGGGTATTGTGAGGGTTAAATGAAATAGTTCACACAAAGTGTTTTTCACAATGCCTAGCACATAACAACCATTTATTGAAACATTTCGAATAGACGTTAAGCCTAAAATAAGCATGGGAGTGGTTCTAGGTTCCACACATCTTAAGGGGGTAGTTCTTTCATATGAGGCACTTATCCAAGTTTGGAGGCTAAGAAAAAATATAAAAATTTATATTCACTTAGAATGAGAAGAGAAATTACCACAAATGACTGGAGATTCAGGGCTCTTTGAGAATATTCAGGTCTTTTTTGAGTTCTCTTTAGGCTTATGTACAAGTTCTTCCTTTCTACAACTTGGTTGTGTCTAGAATGCTGTATAATTCCCAGCAATTCTAGCATTCACAAGACTTAAGCTCCTTCAGCTCCATAGTAAGTACACCTATGGATTAGGGGATGGTGGCTATGAATTTGTTGAAGTTTTTGTCTCATTTGTTGACCTCCTAAGTATTATTTTTTAATTTGAAAAACCAAATAAATCTGTGTAGTTGGCTATTCTAGAACCAAGAAACCCTTCTAGAAGACATGAACAATGTTTGAGACTCTTAGCGCTAGTAGTTAATCCAGACGTGTAAATAGTCATAGCTAAAACTGCTTGACTATTATGTGCCAGGCAGTGTGCTAGACACTTTATATCTAATGCCCCACAATACTGATAATGCAGGTAGGTGCTATTTTACTCAGTTCACAGAAGAACAAACTGAGATTTATGGGGGTAAAGGAACTACCCAAGATTGCTCAACTAAAGTGGTAGCACTGTTACAGGAACTAACTTCAGAGCCTGTGTTCCATACTATCAGTTATGGGAATTGTATTTACTCAGGAAATGATGGGCCACTTAGCAGTAAGTAGCAACATTTGAATTTGAATTTTATATCCCAGCATTCTGCTATATCTTAGCATCAAGTAACATATAACTTGTGTTCTATTTTATTTAGGTATGTGCTAACAAAATGACATCTTAAAGTGGTTTTTCTTTTATATTATGCTGTCTGGTACATAACTAGAGCTTTTCATGATTTTTGCACCCCCAAAGAATGCTTGCAGTTATAACTAGAGACCAGAATAATTACTTACATGCTTTTAGTAAGTTGTATGTTTTGAAACATATAGAAGCTACTGACTGAATTAGATATTTATTAAAGCTCTAATATGTGGGGATTGATTTTTAATTCCTTATAATATTATCTAAGTGACAAAATTATTAAAGGTTAGTGATAACTTCATTTGAAAATTGTAGGAAATTTTCCTAAATACTTTCTATTTTAATAATTTCTTCAGAATTTGAGCTAATAAAAATGATGAATGAAATTCAAAGTAATTTAAAATGCCTTGGTCTTTTGGAGCCTTATTTCTGGAAAAAGGGAGAAGCCTGTGCAGTAAGAGGATCAGATACTATGTGGTATAGAGGCAAGGTAATCGAAGTTGTTGGCGGCACTATCAGGGTGAGTCTGATACTCTTTTGTAACTATTTTAAGGCTTAATGCTATAACGTTTAGTGGTCTTTTGAATCTAAACGAAAGTTAGATAAAAACATCTTTTAATGAATTCAATCCTGTAGGAAGACTGGTCAGATGTATTACATGTGTATTTGTAATAAGAATTCTTGTTTTTGTTTGTTTTTTTGTGTTTTTATTTTTAAGTATATTTATTAACCTGAATAACCAAAACATATTTCCAGGTAGAGATTTGGCCACTGATACTTTAATGGTACCACTTATTTGTCATCGGAAGCCCTGTTCATATACATGATGTTAAGTAAAAACAGCTTGTTTTCCAATACATTACATATTTCCTTAGCAAATTTGTTTACAGCCCAGCTAATTTGCCCTATCAGGATAATGGTTACCTCCACAATACTGAGATATAGTATTGAGTTTCGTGCAATAGCTTCATTAAGAGCTGTATACTTTGAAAAAAATGTGTATATAAAAATAAACCTGAAAATACCTTCATTTTAATAATATGTTTACAAAGTAAAGCAACTAAATCATGAGCCATTCAGCACCTGAAAATTTTAATTTTAGGAGGGGAGGAAAGAGCCTTTTGTTTTATTTTCACGGGGTTTATTATCTATTTGATGATGATACCTAACAATTACATAGCACTTCTGGGTTTATAAGGTTCTTTCACATATGTGCATTCATGTTTTATAACTTGTTTCCAACTTTCATAGATGTAGGTTATTTCCATTTTACTAATAAGAAAATTGAAATTTAGCATCTGATTTCTAAATTTCTCACCTTAAAAGTGGTTTCAAATTTGTGGTGGGTACTTAAGTATATGAATACTTAACAGATTCATGTGTTTAGATGTAAATGAGTCCATTTTCACATATATTTGAATTTGTTTAGATAACCCCTTTTTAATACAAAAGTGAACTGAAACTCACTTTTACTAATTTATTATAATTCATGTCCTTTGCATATATGGAATCCAAACAAATAAGATGTTGGTAAATTTATTTTTTCTCGCACTGTCTAATATCTCTGGTTTTTAAATTTATTTCAAAGTATTTTGATACTTTAATCATTGCTTTTATTTTCCTGTGGGCATTTTACATTTCAAGTATACACAATACCTTTTTCATTTCTTAACTTGATATCTTTCAAAGTTTAACCTATGATCAACATTAAGATATAAACCTTATGCCCTGGCTGGTGTTATTCAGTGGTTAGAGCATCTACCTGCTCACTGAAGGGTCTCGGGTTCGATTCCCAGTCAAGGGCACTTACCTGGGTCTCAGGTTCCATCCCCACCCTAGTCAGGGTGCCTGCAGGAGGCAACCAATCAATGTGTCTCTGTCACATTGATGTTTCTCTCCCTCCCTCCCTTCCTTCTTCCTGATTTTCTACTCTAAGAGTCAATGGGGGAAAAAAATCCTCGGTAAGGATTAACAAAGAAAAGAAAAAAGGAAAGGGAAAAAGGAAAGGAAGAGAAGAGAGAGAGAGAGAGAGAGAAGAGGGAG